GAATACAACTCCTTCATAAAATGCCTTTCTTCAATTTTCCTATTGTCCTCATCCACTCACTTTATAACATCTGTTTGAATTTTATCTCTGGATATGTGCTTGTGGCTTCTAAGTAATAAGAGTTCCTTTGTGCATGACTGCAACATGAACAAGGAGCTTCCTCAAACTCAATGATGTCCTGACCTCTATGGGATTCTTAGTCATATTGCCCAGTAAATGTAGTAGACTAGAAGGCAGTCAATAACAAAAGATACATTGAGTACAACAGGTAGAACAAGAGATTCCCTCACTGCATCTTGGCAGCCAATGCTATATGTTTTTTATAATAAAATTGATTAGTACTCAGAAGTTTCATAGATCTACAAGGCTCATCATTAAATTGATTCTCCTTTGCATGTTTGCAAATCCAATACATTCGGATCTTCAGAGACTTTCTCTTGTGCTCAATTTCTTCTTCCCAGGCAAAAGATAGACTTTCATTACCTGAATCTTCAGTATCAAAAATGCTACTGGCAAGACAATATCTACTGAAATTGAGGTTTTACAGTCTATTTTGTGCACTGCCTGTTAATGATGAAGCTATGAGAGGGGGAAAAAAAAAGCTAACACAAGGCAGAAAAATAAAGCATCTGTTAGGCAACACTTGGATTATTTGAGATGAGCTATATTGCTAAAACAAACATCACAAAACAAGCTCTTATTGATAATTAGCTTGAAAAGTATGGAGTATATGAGGGAAGAAGGAAGATTAAAGATCAGTCATTTTTGTCTTTTAGCAAACATCATTTCATATTATGCAGTCTATCTGAAGTGAGCAAAGCTCAAGAGTTTTCTTTTAGCTGAACTTTCTGGGAAAAAAAAATGGCCATGAGTTCATACATTTGGACTATCTTATTCACTGTAGTAGTAATTCTATTGGTGACATATATCTGAACTCATCAAAGGGGTCTTTAGGTCTAACAAGCTGCTTTTTCTCCTTGTGTGTACTGTTGTAGCATTCTTGAACTTGTTTAGCAACTACCTGTTGCTGAAGGAGAAAGAGGCAAGTGGTTTATTCTTATCTCAAGATGAAGTTAGGATAGTATCTTTTAAAGGATAATAGCATCACTACTGACCCATGTCTCTTAAGCAAATGAAGATCAGAAGCCTTAAGATTAGTTATAAATTTTTGCATTCTGGATTAGAATTGCAGAAGTGCTCTGAACAAGAACTGGTACATTTGCGCACATGAGAGAAAAAGCAAAATTGAAAGAAGCACTGAACAAATGCTTTGTGAACAGAGCTTACACCTTCACAAATAATGTGTTTCATAGTAGTGAAATGCATCTCAGTTAGTCTTGAGTTCTTGTTCTGTGGTGCAGCTCATGCAATTCCATACAGTATGTCATGCATCTACCTTAAAACCAGAGAGCCCAAGTTGGGGTAAAAAGTAAACAACAGTTACTTTAGAAAGAGGAAAGGAGGTAGAACTGATCCATGTGAGGCCAGACGGGTAACTCAAAATTTAGTTTCAGGAAGGTCAAATATCACTTTTGTCAGCAAGCTAGATTTATAGTATGAATTTTCTGTATTTTCTTTTAAATCAAACACCCTCAAAAAAGAAAATAATCCAAGTGGTGTATAAATTAGTACAGCTGTATCAGCCTTTGAGACATCATAGGTATATGCCAAAGGTATGGCACACAATGCCTGAATCCTTTTTAACCACAAGATGATAGAAGCTTACTTTTGACCCTTACTTCTAATATATTTTTACCCTGGTGCTGCTCTTCCTGTGTGAAGCACAGAAGGATATGCTTGTGAACGTAACTGATAAATCAATGTGCACCTTACCTCCTCCTCCTTGAGATGACTCCTACAAGTGGAGGGAAAAAAAATAAAAAAAGACCTAATTTGCTAAATTAGGACCCATGTTCATTGGCTTTGATGTGACTTTGAGAAGGAGTTAACTGCTAAATATTCAATAAAAGGGTCCTATATGAAGGAGGAAGAGAACCTCCTACAGGAGATGTTTTCCTAGAAAAGCAAAAATTGTGCCACTGCTGTGGCCTGGAAGGTGAGTTTCTGACAAAATACATCAATAGAACAGAGCAGCCCAATTCAGACCCAGAGAGAAGCCTCCCAAAATCTGTGAAAACTAATGACATTATTGACAAACTTATCAAATGTCTTTTGGAATAAGACTTGATGTGAATACAACTGAAATGACCGATTGATACATTTGTAATCCTTGAACCTTTCAGTTTTATCCTCTTCGAAGCACTAGTGATTTGTGTTCTCTGAATTGTTTTTCTTTGCAATCTCTGCCTCGCTATAGGGTTCTCTATTCAGAGTTGAAAATGAAAGAGGGGGAAATAGAAAACTGAACAATTTCACAAGAAATTTATTGCAGATAGCAATTTAGAAGACTCGTTATCCCAGCATGAAGAAAATACAGTAGGATCCTAAGACAGCCAATATAATACAAATGCAGCAAATATATTCAGCGATTGAATGCACAATATCATGTTTTTTTCTATTCAGATTAATAAAGATCCTAACTTATTTTACTGTAATAGACTATATTAAGTAAATATTAAGCTATAATTGCTAATTAGTATCCAGCTATTGAAAAAACAGCAAATATAGTGCGAACACGGAGGAAATCAGTTCAAAGTTTCTGGTTAGTGGGGAATAATATAAGTAATGTTTGGGCAGAAGTCTGAGTAGCAAAAAGGTGAGAAATGCTTGCAAGAATTTTCTATGCAAGTCCAGTTACAAATGAAAAATAACCTGCTGGGTTGGTGGAGAAGGCCAGTTTTAAAGTTTCAGTATTTGACTGGTGCAGACAAACCGAAGAGGCAATTTCAGCATGGTCAGTTCTTTTCCCACTGTTTTCTTATGATTGCAGTGGATTTAACAAATGCTGTTTTCTGATGGATTCTTCCTTTCCTCCACACTAAACCTTTTTTTGAAATGCAAAGACACTCTTATAAATTGAGTCAACAGAGCTGGTCAAAACCTAGTAAAAACAGCAATTTTGTTGAAAGTATTCTGACTGGCTATAAAAGTCAATAATATTTTAGGCGCTGCATTTAGATATATGTTCATCTCTGTGGTATATCTCAGCTTCAGCTTTTGGCTCTGTAGGAGGCATGTGCTGCAGAGGTGAAAGTCGTGCAATAAAGGCTGGTGTCGTGAAATAAATCATATTGATTAACCAGCTTTGAGAGTCTAACCTTCGCTTTGTCCATGATTGCAGGAGCAGTGATTTTAATTTGTAAGGATGAAGCGATATAAACAAGGGTGCAGGAGAGGCACTGGAGGAAGCTGAATGGGGCTGTTGGTTCACTTGGGGCACTGACAATGTCTGAATTAAACATATCAGTTTTGTATGTAGGTCTATTTCTTCCCTATTAGTTCTATTCCAGAAGACAGCACAACTTCATAAATGATAATAATAATGCTCAGGTCCTGCAGCTCCACTTGGTTTTATTTTCTGTGGGATGTGCAATGGCAGTGGGAGCATTGGGTTGCTTCAAAGAGTTGGTTGCTGCTTTGCCTCCAGTTGGGCATTAACCAGAGGTTTTGGCTCTGGTCTGGATTTGACAGTGGTGTCGTTGCCTCAGAATTTGGACTTTCCAAAGTTCATAGCTAAACCCAGATGTTGCACACTGATCTGAAAATATTGATAGATTCATTTTGCCCAGGATGCTGAATACAGTCCGCTCTGTCGCTACCTGTTCTAGTCTCTGGTAAAATGTTCCCAGAAAAGTAATACCTGTCTGCTTTACTGTACTGAACAATTTATTAAAAGCTCACATTTCTCCTTGTGCTCTTTTTTTTTTGTATGTATTCTAATTTCAACTAGTCTTGAGATACAAAATCTATAAATCACTTTCATCTCTTAATTATATGTTCACCTCAAGCATTTTAATATAAAATAAGATTTTTCCTCTTGCAATTACATCTTTTGTACTGTTGTTTTTCCTTCCCTCCCTCATTAGCCCAGCTTTGGCACCCAGGTGTCCTTCATGCAGCTTTGCTCTCTGCTGCCTCTCAGATTTACCTTTTGACTTTGACAAGGTTTTACCTCAGTTCTTTCAATAGCTATATCCATGTAACTCTTTTCTCAAACTTGCTTTTTGACAACCCTTTTTCAGCCTGTGAATGACCTGGAGCAGTTAAAAGTAGATGTGCTAGTAACACAAAGCAGAACTGTAGAAGTGCAGGCCCTGAACAGCAAAACTGACGAGGAAGGCGAAAAGAGTGTGTTCTTGTTTGCTAATAGTTGGGCTTAATCCTTCTTCTGTCTGGGTGACAAGCTGTGCCTCATAATTAGTTGTGTGAACCACTTGCCAGAGTCACTCTGTACCATCCAAAGGCCCTGTAAAGCTTTACTAAAAGATATTGCAATATCTTATTAGAGAGAATTTCTGGGATGTGTTTGCTCTTGTTGCTGCCAGCACAGTCAAGAAAAGTCCTTCAGTACTTTTGTGCCTCTCTTTATATATTCATAAAGCTAGTGTGTCCATAGAAAATGTTTTCCATGGCTACTGCTATTTTGTACAAGTGTTTTTCTATAAACTCATTGAAATGACATTTCATATAAATGAAGCTGTGTGAAGCTGAATCCAAGAGATCAGCCCCTTCTGTACTATGCAAAGGTAAACTTCTAAGATTAGATTTAAAAAAAAAAAAAAAAAGGGGAGGTGCAGGGAGGGAAGGGGCAGAAAAAAAAGAAGGAAAAAAAATGCAGTGTACTATAAATACTGCAGTGCACCAAGCTTGCTAAGTCCTTTTCCTAAATCTGCAGTAGACATTAAGTAAATGATGAAAACTTATACCAGTACTAAAGCACTTCAGCAAGTGTATTGGACATCTTTGTATAATGACCAATACTGAAAAGCTTGCTGCAGTTACTGTACTGTTGCAAAATTGAGCATCCAGTTTTCATTGAATTTCTACACAATGACGACTTCAACAGTAATTTACTAACTTTTAATTAAAATATTTTCCAGGTAATCTTTGGACATTATCTCCTTAATTATAGAAGACATCTGTTATTCATAGCCTTGGAGACTGCCTTATTTGCTTTAAAATGTAAGTACATGTACAATTAAACTTTGGCCATGTTTTACTCTATTCTGGATGGGATCAGTGACCATTATGCATTACATGGCTTACAGAGCTGTGATAATGAAGCACATTTGTGCTGAAAACCTATACTTCAAGAGAGTATTAAAGCTCATTAATTTCATTAGCTGAATGTGTCTTTTTAATATAACCTTAAATCTCATAGCACCGTGGAAGAGTACTGTAACACTGCAGCATGGACCAATTTGTTTAATAGCTGTGACTTCATAGCAAATAAACATTTTCACACGATTAGTCTAATAGTATGCTAAGATAGGGTTTTCTTTCAAAGTTTGGCACTTTCTCTTTTGCATATTTCTTAACTGCATTTGGTGGTGACTCATTATATATTCCACATCATTAGGAACTAGCAGAGTCTCAGGAAATGTTGTTGCCGGGTACAGAACCAGTGAAGCCAGGAGTTATTCAGAACTCAGCGAAATAAGCTGCAATCCAGGGTGGGAGACAGTATTTGCTCATGTGTGAAGAGGTTGGATTGGCTCCTTCCAGCTCAGCTCTTCTACTGTCACTGCTCATCCCAGCATTGGCTGTTGCCTTCACATCATGACACTTAAGAAATAGAAAAAAAAAAACCTCAGTCTGTTGGGGCAGCCCCTTCTGTTGTGCATCTTTTTTTCCAAGCTCTCTTCCTCTCTGAAGGGAGAGACCATAGCTCTTGTCAGTTCTTTCTTTAGGAGATGGGAAGGATACATAGAGTGAGGGAGAGTTTATCTGCTCCCAAAGCAACTGCTCTTTCAGGTCTGTGCTATGTATGCCCTGGTATCCAACTAAAATGGGTAGTCTTTTTTTTTTTTTTTTTTTTTTTTTTTTTTTTTTTTTGATAAAAAGTAAATTACATTAGAATTTAAGCCAAGTCATCTCCTAGAGATTTTATACCCATGGCTGGTTGACTGGATATGCATTTCTATTACTTGGTCACTATTACAAAAATAATCATTTTTTTTCTAAAATAACATACTCTTGGAAGTATTAAATGCTGTTACTATGGACTGAAAATGGTCAAATATCCCTTCTTTGACAGTGTGCTGCGTTGTAACCCCATTTTCCTGACTCTCTTTTTGCTCCTCTTTAATGCAAATGAAATTAGTGTTGTCTACATTCAATCTGAGGCATCTAAAACCAGCTACAGAGCTACCAGTATTTATTAGGATTTGCTGTCTTCATTTCTTCCATTAATAATTGATGTTTATCCACATTAAGAGTTTGGAGGGGGGAGGGAATGCTAAAGTCATAACAGATTAGTTGAACATAATGTAATGCATATCTTAAAATGATAGCGTAGTGCAAAGGATTAGTGTTTTGCTTGTTAGCTGGAGAGCTCTGCTCTATCCCCTGAAATCAGAATTACCAAAATTGTACATCTACAAGTAAACATACTGATGATTAACCCATTACTTTTCTAGGGTTCCATAACTTGTTTACACATTTAAGAAAGCCATCTGAATAAACACCTGATTCCTGTAGTTACCATAAAGTCATTCGAGATGAAATTTGTTTGGTTTGGCTACTGCTCGCTATAAGCCTTATTCTGGAGCTCTCGTTTATTTGAACTTTACAGTTCAAATTTTGGTCCACTTAAGATTTTTGTTCATCCAGGACTTGCTTGGCCTGATCTCTGTGTACTGATATCCCTAACTGATCACTGTTTCTGTGAATTTGGCTATTAGTGTAATGTGTTTCCATAGGTGTCCCTGTCCCATGTTGTCATTATTCTTTGTTCTTAGGCAGAAGATACCCCAGGAAAGTCAGGAAAGCCTGGATGTTACGGCTATTCCTGAAGCAGAAAAAAGTTTTAGTGGTTGGAAGGATTGAGGGGGAAAAAGTTTAAAGTGGAAGCGGGATTCTTGACTTAAACAGAAAATAATTTCAAATAATGGCAGTATGGTTTCCCCTGTAAATGTAGCTCAGCTTCAGTTGAGGAAAGGACACAGATCTTAACATGTGAGCAAGAATGAAGTAAGTGGAAGCCAAAATTTTGATTAGTAAGGGAAGATCTGATGTACAATTAGAATGTTAACTGCTGGAGATGGATTCTGAAATTCACTTGCCTTCCTAATTGCTACAATGCTCTAATGCATAAAATGCTTTGGCTAGATATTGTATCCTGGAAGAGCAATCAGGATATCCTGCACTTCAGTTCTTCCTTGCATTGAATTGTTTATCAGTCTTTAGGTTGGTTTTTTTAAATTCTTTTTCCCTGCTCTTCCTCTCATCCTTCTCTCAAAAGCTGCATGTGGCTGAGTTTGTCAGTTCTTGCTCAAAACGCACCTTCCCTGACTCGAAGCTGAGAGAAATCCTCCACCAGAAAACAATTGTTGTTCATTAGTATCAAAATGCCTTAAAGACAAGAGTTGAGTCTTTTAATTTTGCAAAGCTGACTTTATTTTAGTGACCTTGCAGACTGCTTTCTCAATGAAGTTTGTTAATGTTAATGACAGTGAAGTCATTTGCAGTTATTGAGATACAGATTTGGTTAACACAAGTTTACAGGAAAATAGAATTAAAAACTAGAGATTATCTTAGTTATTTTTAGTGATGTGATTTAGTGGAAGAGTGTGGGTGTATGTATCTATAAGTGTGTGTGTGTATATTTTGGAGTGGTAGGTTCAGATATTTACCTATTATGAAATCAATCATCTTAAATTTCTGACATAGATTATACTTGGGTGAACTCTCAGGCTGGGACTCTGAGTTAACTGGCTTTGACCTGGGAAACTTACGCTAGTTATACCCCGTCCAAATCAACTTTTAAGGATCATTATTCTGAATTTCTCCTCAAAGTCATGATCCGTTTTGGATATGCACTTGGTAGACAAGGGATCACACACCACCTGCGCCCTTTTGCTTTCTAAATTTGTTATTTTTCCTTAAGTACATTACAGTGTTTCCAGCTCCAGATTTTATGAGTAGATTGGTTTGTGTTTTTTGGGGGTGGGGGAGAAGGGGAGGAGCGGAGATAGTTTAAAATACAATGAAGCATATACTGTTTTTCTGCTTTTTTTTTTTTAGTACATAAACCTTTTTCAACTGCAGAATGAAAAGATGAATTTTTCAGAACACAGATGGTTTAAAATAATATGCTCTTAGCTTGATGGAAAATGCTAGTAGTAATGTCTGTGTTCATTATGATGGTGGGAGCAAATAATAACCACTGAAGGAGAGAGGTGTTGGCAACCTTAAAGCAAGGTGTTGCTACCATCCTACCCATGATTACACTGTTTTTCCTGTGATGCTGAAATCAAAGCAATGTCTAGTTGCAGAATATCTTGCCGACTTGCTAATTGGTTTGTGTTTTCAATGAAGTGTTACTTATTAGATCCTACTTTTGGTCTTTTCAGTTTTATCTGTTTAAACAAGTCATCCTAAACGTAATTCTTTGCCTCAAGACTGTGAAGTAGAAGGAGGCTGCGTTATTTTATTAAAGCTTAACTACTGCAGCATATTCCTGCAGCTGGCCATGTGTGTGCTTATTAAACAGCATGCATTATATGATGAATTACTTATTGGTTTCTGGACATTGCAGTAGCTCTCTGTCTAAACCCTTACTCAGTATTTAGCCAGCACTGTGAGGGCACATTTTTAGCCATTGTGTCAATATAAGATAGCAGATTAAATAGTGATATTTGTGTGAAAAGTTAAAGGGCACATGCCATTTTAAAGGACTTTAATTTTGGGGCTGTTTCTGACCTATGGCTACATGTGACCTTGTTCCTCAATTTGAGGAATGAAAGGATGGTCCTTAGTGCTACTTCCAGAAGTTCAGGTTTTATGAACATCACTCCTGAACTAAAATTTAATACATCATCTGAAATGTCATTAGCCCCTTCTCTAGCAAAGTTTTGCTTGCTTTTAGAAGTGTGTTTCCTGTCCATTTTCACTGAACTTCAGGGGAAAGTGCAGAGATCATATCTCTTTGGATAAGCAGCAGTTGGACGTCCTAGCTTGACAATATCTTGAGTCTTACTAACATTTATTTAAAAATTAGCAATGCTACTCTAAAACAGTATATATAGTCCTACTTCTTTCTTCTTATGATCAGAGAACTCAAAATGGCTTTGTTTCAAGGGCATTTTCATTTGAGGAATACTATGTAATTTAGTGTTCTTTAGTTGTCTCTTAGTGTTAAATGTTGTTATGTATCAGGGCCGCTCATACTGATGATAATTTAATTAATTAACCAAAACTTTCAAGTTGTATCAGTGTGATACCCACTAAGCAGTAGTAAACACTGAAATTTGAAACTTGATGTTTTCTGTTAAGGATCTGTGCAATTCCCTTTTTAAAATTTATAGCAAATATAGCAAAAAATATAGAAATATAGCAAAAAGAAAATTGAGAGATGACTCAAGGGTAATCCTCAAAGGTACTAATATAGTTGTATTTAATGGATTGCATGAGTGTTTTCTTGTGTATAAATTTATTGCTAAATTTGACATTGATCTTGAAGCCACACAGCTGCGTGTGGCCCAGCTGCTGGTGCCTGTGCTCTCCTTGCCGAATTTGAGCACGTTGAGGCTGGTGTAACCCACGCTGGGCAAGGAGCTGCAGTCGGGACTGGAAGACGCTGAGCAGCTCTCCCGAGGAGGTGTGCGACCAGTGCTGCTTGCCTCTGTCCTCTGCCTGTATCCATGCTGCAGAAGCCTCTCTTGTTTGCAGAGTCTTGGGAAAGATGAACGCAATCTGCATCAAAATTAAATGGCAGATTTGCTTTAGTTTCTGTTACTACATAGAATTCAGATTCCAGTGCGTTGTCTTTCTACTGTTTAGTATTTTACACTGTATTGTTCACTGTATTTCACTGTCCTGCTGTGGACAGTGAAAAAGAAACCACAAAATCCCCACGCTGAATGCTGTGCTGATACCAGATAATATCAGTTGGGTAACTCGGCCTTAATTACTCCAGTCTGTAAAAAATATTGAAAGGGTGGAGCCCTAAAGTGGGCAAGGCAAAATCTGGATCTGCAGCACAAGTCATGCAAAGTGACAAGAGGTCACTGGATATTAAAACAAAAATGGATAGGTTCTTAAAAGGGGAAAAAGAAGCACAAAAGCTGAGGACACTTATTGACTTGAAAAAAAAAAAAGAGATTTCAGAGTTATGAGAGAAAAATCTCTCTCAAGTACATTGAAAAATATTGTATTACGTTGTCTTCCCCACACACACACACACGTCTTTGAATTAATTACTGATCACTTTTTATCTTTCCAGAGGTCTTGTAAGGCCTTTAAAATCATTTGGTCTCTACTATTCTCTATTGTATAAATATTTGATGACATGAAATCCTGTGAGCGCTGCAATAATTATACAAATTGTAATGCTAATCCTTGGTATCAATAATGCCTTTGGAGAAAATAGCATTATATACTTTATTCCCAGAGAATAACAACAATATTAACGCAGCACTGACACTTGGCAGCACTGCTTCCCTAGCCTACGTTCACTTGGCAATTGGAATTGTAAAGAAGCGGAGAAAGCACATATTTCTGGCTGCAGTTCTGCTTCTGGAGCCGCAGAAAGAATTTGGCATTTAATGATATGCAAAGTGTTGTTCCTGTTTGATTGTAGTATACTATATATGCCTTGGAGCGTGACTTAAAGTAATTTAACAACTGGAATAACAGGCGTTTGGGAAGAAACTAATTTCATATGAAGGCAGATCACAGACACTAGTCTTGTTCATAAAAATGTTACCTTGTCATGCTATATGAAGCTGGATATCAAGCTAGCAGGATGATGTGGAGGGCAACCTTCCTCAGTGCAGACTGGATGAGATCCACTTGACAAAATAACATAATTAGTGAAATGTAAATATTGTAGCTAACCTGTTTTGCAGACTCATATTAAAGATGAATGAGACTATTTTTTTTTTTTTTGTAAATGAGGTTTTTACAGTATGCAATGGAGTCCCTACTGACACAGTTAAAATACATATATATATTTATTAAAAAAAAAAAAAAAAAAAAGATCATGAGACTTAATACGGTGTTACAATGTATAGTACAGGTTCTGCACTGCTACATGGCTGTCTGTCATATTGTTTCCTCTGTTTTATTCGCTTGGAGAGGGAAATACATCACTTGAAGTGAAAAGTGCATTTGGTTTTGGAGTCTGGTTCCTTCTCAACTGTTTTGCTGGTAGACTTGTCAAATAGAGCAGCCATCAATAACTGTTGTCCACAGCTGGTGGAAGCTCAGCCAAAGCTGCCATTGTGTTCAAGTAGTTTAAAGAGGATCCTTGATGTTGCCGTGAATGTGGCTGCAGAGTCCATAGTTAGATGGTTATTTTCACTCGTGAAAACCTGTGGTGGTTTGACACCTTCAGCACTAATTATGGAAGAAGCCCCAATTTCCCTTTAGATAGGACATATAAACCCCAGTTCTTAAATGTCACTTTAAAGTAAAAATGAGGTTAATGTTATCTTTTAGAATAGAAATTATTTGTACTTTTGCAGTAGCTTTAATCCAAGACAACATTGCTTGACCAATTGCAGGGAAGTAAGCATCAGGGATGTGCAGCAAGGAAAGGATATAACTTTTTCTCTTTGTGCTATGATAGAAATGAAGTAGCAAAAATTGCAGTCAGACCTGCCAAAGAAAGGAAAACCAATCTTTTCTCCACTATATTTTCTTTTTCAATTCTGTTTCCTTGTTCTTAAGAAAAATACTGTATACATCTTATGATGTATGTCTAATTATGAAAAAAAAAAATCTAAGTTTCATGTGCATCTTTATTGAATGCACAGGATAATGTCAAATAAGGTAGAAATACTGTAGAAAAATCTGTATAATCCCACCTTCAGTCCTTTGGACTTTACAGTTCTTTACTATGTTACATGTTTACAGGCAGTGCGAGTCTTTTATGACTTATGGTATGTGGAGCAACTTTTACTGTAGCACGGGAAAAAAGGCTTGACTTGATGTCAAGAGGGGAAGAGTATGCTGTTTGAATCAACTGAGAAGTGCCAAATTAATACTGAAAGTGATATCTTTTGCCATTTCTGTTTCTTTTAAGACTCTAAAGTATCTGACATGACAATCTGACAGTTGCAGTAAGAGCTGGATGTTATATCCTATTCTGAATTTTGTTACACTTGCCATTCTTGGTGACTATTAACTAAGTTGTGTGACACCTTTCCTGAAGCATTAGAATTCAATTCAACATGCCAATGCTCATTTAAGACGTGTTCATCATATTCCTTTCAGTTAAAGATAATTTAGGAAATGTTTTAGGTGAAATTATAGATTTTTTTATTATTATTATTCATCCTTGCTTAAAACTAAATTCTGTTTCAGCTGTAGTGACCAACTTTATATTTCAGTTTTTCCTTTCCTTTATTCTTCAAGATCATTGTGTATCAGTAAACGATTCTTTTTTCTGCATTTTACCAGCAAATTTCTCATCAAAGAAGTATGAAAACCTAAACATCAAAGGTGCTTCTTAAGGACTTACAAATCTCTCCATTCTTTGGTGTCAGGAAAGGGGGCTGCCGGTTTTGAGGATACTTCATTGTATCTGTCTGGAAAAATAATCTTCAGTCACTTAATATCAGATCTGCTGGTAATTTTTAACCTAGTATATTGTATTAGCTTTTCCACTTCTTCAACAGAGCCATATGGATGATAGACTGCAATAACGGAGTGCACTGCATATAATTATAGTAATTCAGACAAAAAAGTGTTATTTCACCAAAAATTAACATTGTTAAAAATGCTAGTATGGTTTCCAATTACAAGAAGAAGAGAGAAAAAAGAAGAAATGGACTAGACTAAAAGCATATCAAAACAAGTGCAGCAGAAAAAAATCCATAAAAAGAAGGAAAGGAGCAGAATTCAACCACTGATGCTTGACTTCTTTGTTAATCTTCTTCCTTTTACTGGCAGTATCTGAGCATGTTAGCATCCATGTTTTTGTAGCAAAAATTTTGCAGGAAGCTTCTGTTTTTAACTTAAGGTGCAGCTTTTTGTGTTCTCAACTGCTCCTTGGTTCAGTAGCACTGCTGGTATGGGAAAACACACACAAATATATTTATCAAAATTGCGAAGCTGAGAGTATGGCAAGAGAGTCTGTAAAAGTTAAGGTAAGTCTGTAGTTGTACCTGTAAGTTAAAATAAAATATAAGTGCAAGATGAGGTTCTCAAGACTGGCATGGTTCTACTAAGGAAAAAGCTGAATGAGAAAATAGCCTGGCAGAATCCCAGGCTTAGGGCTGGTGGAATATATGTGCAATTCAGAAGGATCTCGGTGTTCTCAGTCAGCTGCTTTTCAGGAGAGATTCACCTTCTCAAGGTGAAAAATCCCCTAAATCCTGTGCATTCTGCCAAACATATTGTTGTGATGCTTTGCTAGTGTGTTTTGCCACAGCACTGCCTCTCTGAGAGCATATATGATCAAAAATCTACCATCAAAAGATGGGTATAAAACTATTGAGGGGAAAGCAATCTACCTATTTCACAGGTCAGGTAAGATCTTCATGTCTGTAAAACTCTCCAGAGGCTTCTGATCTCATCTCCATCCTTTTAAAAAAGCAGCGGTGGGTTTTAGACCAGCTTTGACGTTTCTGCTTTTTTTTTTTTTTTTTTTTGAACACTTTCTTGCTTACTTTCCACTGGGTCCAGCCTGTCCTCTTCTGTTTTTTTTTAGCTATTACTGTTCCTTTCTAGGATTCTTCTTTCTTTCCCATCTATTCCATGGGATTTCCACTTCTACTTCCCCTTGATCCTTTCCTCAGGGAAATCTTTCTTCCAGTCTCCTGCTGTAGCACTATGTGACAAATGCCTTTGCCTTGGCATGGGCAGGGGTGAAGTTAGCCCCTGGCATAGCTTGTTGCTGGAGTATTTCCAGGTTATTTGGCAGCAGTGCAGCTGCCCTGCCTGCACACACAGTAGTTAAGGTAGTTTTCTCCTGAATGGGAGCTAAACTCAAATGTTGACAGATCATCACGCTGTACTCGTGGAAGAATAAATAATAAAGGAGGATAAAGCAGTAATGGGCAGTGGCCAGAAAGATGATCCGCAGCCAGCAGGCACTAGGTAGGGATATGAGACGGATTGTGATCCAACTGTGTCAAATACTGGCAAAGAGAGTACGTAGTTCTTGGGTTTCTGAATGAAAGCACAGCTTGACTTAGCTATGGAAGGTACAGATCTTTAGGAGTGCTAGGGTGTCCCCCTTATCATCCAGTGGAAAGGCACTGACTTCTGCATGAGGGGGCTACGTAGCTCTGCTGTTTTGATTGGTACTGCCATAGAAATTGGTGTTTAAACCTCCCCCCATTGATCTGCATGGGAAATAGAGCTGGACTCGCTCCAAGTGCTTTTGAATCTCCTACTGTTTTTCCCTGAGATACAGTATGATGATTTATCCACTCTATTCTAAAGGGCAATTTCAATCACTAATGGATGCCATCACTATTTTCAAATGAGGCACTTTTTAAAATGTAGAAATAGCTTTGAGAATAATTCCTGGTAAAGTAAACATGTTGGCTTTTTGTTGCTGTGCAGAAAAATACAGTTTTGCTTGGGGTCGATATAAGATTGAAAAGTGTGGTTAATAATAAAAGCTGAAGTGGGAGTTGCTTTAATAACGGGATTGTCATGTGCAAGCCTCTAAAATAAATAGTAATTATCACATTTGAGAAACTACTCTGTTAGAATTTGTATTGCTCTTGACAGCTTCATCTGTACATCAAGCCTTTCTGGTTTATGCACTTTCTAGTTCTTAATGAGCAAAGAAGTGAAACAATTTCTTACTCTGATAGAAGGTGTTGATTTCAACAGAACTTAAATAAATACAGATGATAGAGCCAGTGTAGAAGACTGCAGAATTTTTTATGAATGCATTTTGCTGGTACAAAAAAACATAAACAACAAGGTAGTTCTATTTAAATTTTCTTCTCCGTTTCAGTAACATATATGTTGGAGGAGGTGAAATTCATATGTTACATAGCCCAAACTGAAGCCATATTATGGGCAGGATTGAATTCAGCATAAAATCCAGTGTT